CAGGAATTGATTGAATACCCATTGTGATGTTTCAATAAATAGATGCAGCGCTGGAGGTGCACGTTCATCTATACCAGGAAATTTGGAAGACAGTTACCTGGCCAACTGACTGGAAGAGATCCATATTTGTGCCCATTCCAAAGAAGAGTGATCCAGCAGAATCCAGAAATTATTGAACAGTAACATTAATATCACATACAAGTAAAATTTTGCTGAAGATTGTTCAAAAACAGTTGCAGCAGTTTATCAGCAAGGAACTGCCAGAAGTTCAAGTTGGGTTCAGAAGAGGACATTGAACAAGGCATATCGTTGCTGATGTCAGATGAATCTTGGCTAAAAGCAGAGAATATCAGAAAGATGTTACCTGTGTTTTATTGACTATGCAAGTGCATTCAGCTGTATAGATCTTAACAAGTTATGGATAACATTGCGATGAATGGGAATTCCCAACACTTAATTGTACTCATGTGGAACCTGTACACAGACCAAGAGTCAGTCATTTAAACAAAGCAAGGAGGGATACTGTTCGGTTTAAAATCAGGAAATGTGTGTGTCAGGGTTATATCCTTCCACCATACTTATTCAATCTGTATGCTGAGCAAATAATCCAAGAAGCTGGACTACATGAAGAACGTCACATCAGGATTAGAGAAAAACTCATTAACGACTGCAATATGTAGATGACACAACCTTGCTTGCCGAAAGAGGACTTTAGGCACTTAGTGAGGAAGATCAAAGACTACAGCCTTCTGTATGGATTACACCTCAACATAAAGAAAACAAAATCCTCACGACTAGACCAATAGGCAACATCATGATAAATTGAGAAGAAAATATTGATGTTGTCAAGGATTTCGTTTTACTTGGATCCACAGCCAATGCCCGTGGAAGCAGTAGTCAAGAAATCAAACGATGCATTGCATTGGACAAATCTGCTACTAAAGACCTCTTTTAAGTTTTTTTTTTTTAATTGTACTTTAGATGAAGGTGTACAAAAGAAACTAGTTTCTCACTAAACAGTTAGTACCCATATTGTTTTATGACATTGGTTAACAGCCCCACGACATGTCAACACTCTCCCCTCTAGACCCTGGGCTCCCCATTATCAGCTTTTCTGTCCCTCCCCCCTTGCCTTCTAATACTTGTCCCTGGACTGTTGTGGCCTCCCAGTCTCATTTTTTGTTTCATGGGCCTGTCCAATCTTTGGCTGAAGAGTGAGCCTCGGGAGTGACTTCATTACTGAGCCAAAGGGGTGTCTGGGGGCCACACTCTCAGGGTTTCTCCAGTCTCAGGCCAGTAAGTCTGGTCTTTTTTTGTGAGTTAGAATTTTGTTCTACATCTTGCTCCCGCTCTGTCCAGGACCCTCTGTTGTGATCCCTGTCAGAGTAGTCAGTGGTGGTAGCCGGGCGCCATCTATTTGTACTGGACTCAGTCTAGTGGAAGCCATGGTAAATGTCGTCCATCTTTATAGTTTTAAAAAACAAAGATGTCATTTTAAGGACTAAAGTGCACCTGACCGAAGAATATTGAATATACCATGGACTTCCAGAAGAATGAACAAATCTGTCTTGAAAGAAGTATAGCCAGAATGCTCCTTAGAAGCAAGGAAGTCGGGACTTCGTCTCACGAACTTTGGACATGTTATCAGGAGGGACCAGTCCCTGGAGAAGGACATCATGCTTAGTAAAGTAGATGGTCAGAGAAGAAGAGGAAGACCCTCAAGGAGATGGATTATTGCAGTGGCTGCAACAATGGGCTCAAACATAACAATTATGAGGATGGCTCAGGACCAGGCAGTGTTTCGTCCTGTTATACACAGGATTGCTATGAGTTGGAACCGACACGACAGCACCTAACAACAACACATTAAAAAAAAAAATCGGGAATAGAAGATGATATTGACTGCAATTAGAGATAATTTTTTTAAAAAGTCTTTATCCATAACTTTGACACGATGAACTAGGTTTATGTTTCAAATCAGTCGATGTAGCATTTTAGATTGTTTTAGAATAATTATTTTATATAGGTATACAAAAGTGAGTGTCTAGTTAAGTTTAAACCAGAATTAATGTTACAAGGAAATATGTTAGAGTGCTTTTTATTTGAATGATATGAAGTATAAAAGCAGAATCAAATGATTGTTTTATCCTTATAGATTATTCCAAGCAGGATGTATCTCATAATAATTTTTCTTTCTAAATCCTGAGGATAATTTACTTGGATTTCAGAATATGGTTTAACATACACATCTACTCTTAATTCTTTTTTTTTTTTTTAACACTTTGTTGTTGTTGAGAATATACACAGCAAAACATACACCAACTGAGCAGTTTCTACATGTACAATTTAGTGATACTGATTACTTTCTTTGAGTTGTGCAACCATTCTCACTCACCTTTTCTGATTTGTTTCTCCCCTATTAACATAAACTCACTGCCTCTCAATTATGTAGCTGATCTTTCAAGTTGCTGTTGTCAATTTGATCTCATAAAGATATATCTTGAAAGAGTATAATGGTCAAAGCAGAAATTCTTTAATAGTTAAGCTAAACAATTGTTTGATTTTAACAAGACTTCACAGGGAATTTTTGGTTAAGGATTATCTCAAGGCAGTCGTTTCAGGGGTTCATACAGCCTCTGTGGCTCCAGAAAATCTAGATTCCATGAAAATTTGAAATTCTGTTCTGCATTTTTTCCCTTTTGATCAGGATTTCTTCTATAGAATCTTTGATCAAAATGGGCACCATCCAGTTCAGGTCTCATGGCAAAGGAGGCAGTTGTTCATAGAGGTAGTTAGCCACACATCCATTTTCTCCTCCTGTTCCTGACTGTCCCTCTTCCTCTGTTGATCCACAAAAATAGAGACCAATTGTTGTGCCTTGGATGGCCGCTTGCAAGCTTTTAAGACTCCAGGCACTGCAGTGAACTAGGAGGTATAACAGAAGCACTAAACACATTGGCCAGTTAACTGGGATGTCCCATGAAACCATGACCCCAAACTTCCTAACCAAGGAACCAAATCCCGTAATGTATTTGGGTGTATATAAGCAGCCTCAGTAGCTGCTCTTTTTTTTTTTTTTTTTGGTAAATACTGTCATGGATTGAATTGTGTTCCCCAAAAATATCCGTCAATGTGGCTAGGTCATGATTCCCAGTATCATATTATCATATGATTGTGTAATCTGATGTGATTTCCTTGTGTGTTGTAAACTTTATCACTATGAGGAGGTTATACTGATGACGTCTACAAGATTGGATAGTGTCTTAAGCCAATCTCTTTTGAGATATAGAAGAGAGAAGCGAGCAGAGACACATGGGAACCTCATACCGCCAAGAAAGCAGTATTTGGAGCAGGACGCGTCCTTCGGACCTGAGGTTCCTGCGCTGAGATGCTCCCAGATCAAGGAAAGACTGATGCGTCACAAAGACCCTCCTCCAGAGCCAACAGAGAGAGAAAGCCTCCTCCTGGAGCTGATGCCCTGAATTTGGACTTGTAGCCTACTGGACTGTGAGAGAATAAACTTGTCTTTGTTAAAGCCATCCACCTGGGGTGTTTCAGTTATAGCAGCACTAGATGACTAAGACAAATACTGATTCTTTTTTTAAAAGCAATTTGAAATGTTCACAAATTTAGATAGCATTGATGCACCTAGAAAATAAAACCTTATCAAAAATTGTGTAATTCACATGCACATGTATTACAGAACTGTGTATTTTATACTGAGAAACCTGAACTTTCTTTTGAGTCAAGTTGTAATTCTCTACAAAGTTACCATAAGTCGTTCAATTCCTTATCAGACATTGCTCTTCAGGGACAGGAAGTGACACTGTGTCAAGTGTTGTATGTATTTTATTTTAACGACATTTAATTTTCACAGTGGTGCTCAAAAGAAGATTACTGTATATTCATTTTATAGAAGTGGAAGCTGAGACGAAAAGTGGTTAAATATGTTGCGCAGTTAACATAGTTTATAGAGCCCTAGTTCAGAAAGTGCCCATGCAGTTTCCATTACTAGTAGTTTATAGCAACATGTTTGTCTCATGTAATGTTTTCCTTAATTCATCTTTCTTGCTGACCAAATATTTTATTTTTAATAGGAATATTTTAATATTAATTAAAAGATTCTAAATGGTCAAAAGACAAACTGCTCACTGGAAAAAAAATAGCCCTTAAACATACGAAAAGCACTCAACTCCATTCACAGTAAAGGAAATGTTGATCAAAACTCCAATATTGTATCTTACTTTTTAGACTGGCAAAAATTAAGAAAGTCTCATAACACATTGCGTGGACAAGGTGGTAGAAAAAAACCTTTATATTTTGCTGATAGAAGTGTAAAATGATAGAACTTCTGTATAGGGGAGTGTGATAATATGTATCAAAACTACAAATGTTTTACCCTTTCACTCATAATCCCAGCAAATCAATCCCAAAAAAATCCCTGCATATACAACATGACATGTCACAAGGGTGTTTGTTGAAACATTGTAATAGCAAAGGTTTAGAAACAACCTAATTGTCCATTCGTAACAGATTGGTTAAACGCTACAGCCACACAGTGGAATTTTGTGCAGCAGTTAAAAAAAGATGAGTATCACCAGCCATTCCTGTGGAAATATCTGTTGTTAAGTGAAAAATTCAAGGTGCTGAATAATTTTTAAAGTTTCCTGCTTTTTAAAAATAAGAATATAAATTCATATTTGTTTGAACATGAATAAAGAACCTTTAGAATAAATAAAAACTGTAACAATGATTACCCATAGAGGATGGGTTTGGGATTTGGATAGTAAGGAGACAAGGAGAGGAAGAAAAAGTCTCTTCTAATAATTTTTAGTCTTATTTTCTGTTTTAAGTTCTTACACACTTTTATGCAAACTATAAAATGATTTTCTCAAATTATGTGTTTTCTTTGGAACAGAAAATTATGAACATATAGTACTTGCTAAATTTTAAAAAATTTTACTGTAAAATGATATATTTTTTAAAAATTCTTTTCCTAGATCCATATTTATTCTCTTGGAATGACATTGTATTGGGGGGCTGATCATGAAGTACCTCAGAGCCAAGTAAGTCAAGTTTTTACATTTGTTACAATTTTTACATTTGTATAACTTTATACTTTTTACAAAGCTCTTCTACATATTTGTATACATTCTACAGCATGCTGTCAAGTACGCCAGTATCTCTCTGCTGGTGTTCACATTAGTAATGCCATACTTTCAGAATGAAGTAATGATAAAACACTGAACAAATTATTTTTGAAATATTTTTGGAATTATTAGCAATAACTAGTCATGTTTCCACAATTCAGCCTGTGAGACGTAGCTGTCCCTTTAAAAATTATACCAAGGGAAATGGGAGTGTAGTTTATTTCTTCTAATTTAATGATAGATAGAAGGGATTATAAATGTCTTTGATAATTCATTCTTGTACTGAATGAGATACCTTTTTTGGTACAAAAATGTTAGGAATAGTATCTCTATGTTGCAAAGTACAGTATAAAAGAACTTTATCACTTTTGTCTCTTGTTACTTCAAAAATCATACTTCACTATCCCCTGCAACAGCAGGTAACAAATATTAAATTAACACTTTTTGAAGTTTGAGACTCTGATAACCATTGGCTGCTTCTAGTCTTTATCAGAAGTTTGTTGCATTTAATCTTCTAAAATAATCCTGATTCCTAAAAATCCAGTATAAGTAGTAGAAAATAATAATTGAAAGTAGAAACATATCTATATTAAAACAATACATAACATAGAATAAGGCTTTATTTGACATTTAGAATCAAAAACTAAACTAGATGTGTGTGTGTGTTTATTAAATCTGAGAAGTAACAAGCACTTGAGGTGTTTATTCTAAAATTCAAACATCTTAATATCTATGGAAGATGAATGATATTCTTGACTTGGTTTGGTATCACTTTACATCATAAAAAATACTGAATATTTCTTTTTCTCCCCTCTTTTTCAATTCTATAAATATAAAGGAGAAAGTTAAATTATTATTGGAAATATTGGTTTCAAGTATATTATGCAGCCTGACTGCATGTAAAATGTGAACACAGACTATAATTAACACTTTATACTTTCTTCTGATAACTGGAAAGAAAGTCAATATAAATAACATTTAAATTGAAAGGAAAATATAAATGTTTACTTTTATTTTGAGATCAGAAATTACAATCATTTTGGAAGTACATAATATTAATTAAAAACTATTTATTAAGCACTTGCCTTGTGTCAGACACTGTACTAGTCATTAGGAATATAATGGCCCATGCCTGTGAAGTCATGGGAGGATGCAGCAACTAAATAGCTAATTACAACAAAATGCGATAAATGTATTTCTTTATCATACCAAAAAAGCAGAGTTTTTCTGTAATACTCCCCATATTGGGAGACTTATGCTAACCATCTTCTGCTAATTTTTTTTTGGACCATGAAAAGGTAAAATAGATATACAAGTAGATGAAGAATTCATTTCCTGCGAGTGTTTGAAGTGTATTTGGTGTGATTCTTGGAGTGGCCTGTCTCATGTTAGATAAGAAGATTTACTCACATTTATCAACATGACTTTTCCTTTCTTTATATTCAGCCTATCAAGCTTGGAGATCATCTCAACAGCATATTGCTTGGAATGTGTGAGGATGTTGTTTACGCTCGGGTTTCTGTTCGGACTGTCCTGGATGCTTGCAGTGCCCACATAAGAAATAGCAATTGTGCACCTTCATTTTCCTACGTGAAGCAGTTGGTGAAACTGGTTCTGGGAAATCTTTCTGGGGTAAGCCACAGTTCCAGTTGGTAAATATAGCCATATCTTAAAATTCAGGTAGCGTTATCACAAAATTTTCTTTAAAGATACGGTATCTATAGGTAGCATTTTGTCAAGGAAGAGTAGGAAAAGGAGTTTGAATTTCATGTTCTAATGTTGTTTACTTGAAATAGTACTTAAAAGTTAGAAGCCATTATAATAACTTAATTTCCTAGATCTTATGAGTGTTAGTGTTTTTCAGAATTTTATTCCTGAAAATATCATAGAATCATGTCATGTTAGAGCTGGAAATGTCTGCTCTTGTCTCCTTTCTTACATCTTTTACATCTTTTTTGAAAATATTTAAATATACTTTCTGTTACTTTATATCTTTCTCTTCATCACTCATTTGTCTGGATCCCTTAGTATTCTCCCATCCCTGCCCACTTTCTCTGAGGACTGTTACCTATTACGTAGGAATATGTGTTTGAATCCCTGCCAGATTGCCTAAGACTTGAATTCTTCCATATTTTCTCTTGTCTTAGATATGAAAAATCCCAAGAATAACAAACTCTATATCTAATAGTTCTAGCTCTGCTCTGCATTTCTATTCACCCTGGTTTGGATACTCTTTGTTTTTTGATATTTGATCTGGATCTAAACTGCCCTTATTCTTTAGGGTTATGGTCCCTGTGTGGTGGTCCCTCTCCTTTTTTTGTGGGCTACAAATTTGCCACTGTCAAACAGTATTCTTGGCTAGCTTCCTCTTAATTCCTTATCCCTAGGGGTTTAGTGCCACTGTCTTAACTAGGATGTTTTATGGCAGCCAGTGGTATAGCCAAACTCTACATGCTTTGCCAGTTGATCTCAGAGATCTTCTAGACAAGTGATTTGTAAACTACACACCATCAAGCCTTTGAGGTTTAGTAGTGGTGGGGAATGTAGGTAGTAAAGACAGAATCAATGGGGTTCTTGACTGCCCATTTCCCCTCCTTAACTAGAACAACTCTGATTTTATTTGATTAATTTGTTTATATTTCTGCATGTGATTTTTTTAACAAAGGTAATGTTACTAAAAAATCTATGAAAATCCTCTATAGTGACCAAAGTTTCCAACATACTTTCAAATGTTTTTTTGTTTAAATAAAAAAAAAAAATTCCTCTATGATCAAATAAGCTTGAGTCAAAACTACTTAAAATGAAACATATTTTCAACTGCCGAACTTGTCAGAGCCTTTAAAACACTAGTCTAAATTACTGATCTTCAAGTGGGATAGGTATGTAAATGACACATTTCCCAAATTTTCTAATCCCCAGAGGTCTTCTTCACGGCTATCATAACACTAATATTCTGTAGAACTCCCTTTGGAAAGTGTTCTTGTGTACTAACTTCTTCACTTTTATAGGTAAGGAAATTGAGACCCAAACAACTTGTAGGATTTAAGTTTTCTATTAGTTTATCCAAGGATCTTTCTACTATACCATACCTCCTCTAAAACATCTGTACTATTTGCTGATTCTATTCCAATAGTAAAATTGCTGGAAGTATTTTTTCCTTTGTCCATGAAGAAATATTCCTCCATGAACTTCTTTTATCCATCCAGTAATTGCCTATGCTAGATAAATTATCGCCATCCCTTTAAGGTCTAGCGTTTAGTTCAGTTGATTACAACAGATATTTATTGACCACCTACTGACATTTGCTTAATAATAAAATGCAAATAGGGCTATTGAAAGTAATAGCAAAACTTTTAAAAGCTATGAGAGTTTGAGGGGAAAGGATACAAAGTTTGACTTCTCTGAAAACTAACATTTTGAACTAGATTTTGTAGGCTAGGTAAAATGAGTAATCTAGGCCAAGGGAGGCAATCTTCGATAAATGCAGTGAAATGAGAAAGCAGGGTAAATTTGGGGAATAGTATTCAGTCTGATTTGGGGTGAGTTGTGCTGTGGAGTTGTTTACCAGGAGAAAAGAATAATAGGATCAGTGGGAATCAGAATGTAGAGAGCCTTCTTTTACACAGACACGTTTAGTTAAGCTTAATAATACAAAGTTTTTAGTTAAGTATGACAAGTATATTAATGGTTGCACTGCTCTTCATAGTCTCCTGGACATCACTGGACAGAAGTAACTTCAATAGCTACCCTTTTTTTTTTACATGTTTACTTGTGTCAGACATTGTGCTGAGTGGCTTACATGCATTGTCACATTTATTTATCATAACAACCTCAGGTTAAAAGTGATAATTTTATCCTCATTTTAGAGATAATGAAACTAAGGCTTATAAAGATTAAGTAAATTGCCCGTGGCCTCACCCATGGTAAATGACAGAGACACAATTGGAACCTGTCTCTCTGATTCCAAAATCCAGGCTGTTAGCCAGTATGCTCCTCTGAAGCCATTGCCTTGAGTAACTGAAAGAGTATTTCACAAATGTGAAATTCATTCTAAGCAACCATAATTGTTACTCATTTAAAATTAATTAGCATAGAGTAATGTCAGTAGGCCAGGTTACTTGTCCTGGTTCTTTCACTGATTTAGTGTTTTAAAACCTTTAATCTCAATTTTACTTACCTGTAAAGTAGAAATAATAGTATATCCCATGCACCCATTTTACTGAGCAGTTGTGAAGATAATTATTTCAATATTGATGAGCTGCTTGAAAGTCCTTAGAAAGACTTTCCTTGCTATTTACCCTTTTATCTGTAATACTAAAAAACCAAAACCAAATCCATTGCTGTTGAGTCGATTCCGACTCATAGCGACCCTATAGGACAGAGTAGAACTGCCCTGTAGGGTTTCCAAGGATGTAATCTTTACAGAAGCAGACTGCCACATCTTTATCCCATGGAGTAGCTGGTGGGTTTGAATCACCGACCTTTTGGTTAGCAGCTGAGTTCTTAACCACTGTACCACCAGGGTTCTTTTTTAACTGTACTTTAGGGATAATAATAATGTCTACCACATGAGGTTGTTTTGAGGATTAAATAAGATGAAGTATGTAAAGCACTTAAGCCAGTGCTTGGCATATAATAACTGCTCAATAAGTAATAGCTATGATTAATAGTAGCTTTAATGCAGAGACTCAGAGATTCAGGATGTTTTCTATCTCTTCACTTACAGCACAGTGCAATCTGGGCTAATAATTATTTACTCAATTTCAGTGATAACTTTATTTCAGAAATACTTCCATTTAAGTCTTCTTATAGGTAGGAAACATAACGCTAGAGCCTTGAATACACTACCTTAGATGCGGGTTTTTAATACATACTCAAACTATTAAAATGTGTATGTGTATAAATAAACGTATCTATGCATGCTCTTGGTGCCAGATATAAGTAATTATATTTTACCATTCTCTTTCCTTCTATTTATTTCTCAAAGTCTCTTCTCTAGTTGGTCATCTGAATAAACCAAGTTTTCTAACTTTTCATCCCATATAATGTGATGTTTGACCAAATTTGACAGACTTTGTTTTAAATAAGTACCTTTGGTTAAAGTTATGAAAGTTTAAGACTACTTAAACATTTGTGTTATAAAGGAGCATTGATTTGAATTTAATCGTCATCCTCCTGTAGGTTCATTTAGTTTGAAGACTTAGCATTTCTCAAATGTAATTTTGGTAAGCAAAATCTAGAAAATCAGTTTTGAAAACAGATTTGAAGAGAAGATTTTAAATCAGTATCCTCAATGCATAGTTAACAATCACGAGAAAACTTTATTTTACCAGAATTAACGTGGTTTAAAAGTTATAAACTTGAGAGATGAAAGTAGTTATCAGTTGGGGGTGGGGGAGAACACTTCAGGTTTACTGTTTTCAGATGGGACTCATTTTTTAACAAAGTCTGAGTAACTTTGTTCCCTAATTAGCAGATTACTTTTTGGTGACTGTTTCTTTCCTTTTAATTTCCTCAAGATGAGTTGGCCAAAACTAAGCTACATAAGTGTTATTCACGGAATACAAATTTACAGTAGGACTCTGAATCTAACTCTTAATGCTATCCCCTCCAAAATGGTCTAACTAGTGTCACTCTGTAGACAATTACCATGAAAATAAAAGGGAGATTCTTTTGTCAAACTTGATTTTTGATTACCTGCATACAGACGGATCAGCTTTCCCATAACAGTGAACAAAAGCCTGATCGAAGCCAGGCTATTCGAGACCGATTGAGAGGAAAAGGATTACCCACAGGTAAGAGTCTATTAATAGAAAATATCAGATTTTGACTTTAACTCCACTTTACTTCCACTGTTGTCCTTTGTGAAGTCATACTTACCTGGCTAGGAAATCTGATCATTGTGACAAGTAGAAAATAAATAAGCAAAGTAGATGGGGAGCAGACAGGAACACATAAATAAATCTACTTAATGTTTTACAGAAAACTCTGTTAATACAGTTAGTGCTCTCTCAGTAAATCATTTCCTTTTCTAGTATTGTTACTATATCAATATCATTTGTTTACTTTATCATGATTTTTATATTAAAAATACAACTTATGCTATAACCAAATAAACGCATACATGTTTATGAACATGAACACTACTAAAATGAAAGTTTCAGAAAGCAACATTATTCTTATTACAGTCTGATACTTTCTATTCTATCTTTTTTTTTTAATGCTAGTCATAACCCACTAAATTGATTTTATATAACCAGTTTCATGACTTGCAGTTATCAAACACTGTATAGGTTATAATTTTTTGCTCAGTAGATAAAAATTGATAAATAGTGGTTTTGCTCTTTGCCAATAGCATTAGATAATTGTGGGGTCCTATGATAATTATTTAATTGACTTTTTAAAAGAAATGATTAGAAACTCCTAACACTTGAAATAAAAGTACAAAAATGAGTTTTTATGTGCCTATTTTTAAGTATTAGGTTTCAGGCTTGACTTAACTTACAAAGTGAACTTTAGATTTTACTCTTTACCTTTGTTTTATTTCTCATGTAGCAGTATTGTGAATTATGATAATCTAAATATTAACAAAAATATTTTGTAGATGAAGTATTTTATTGTGTTAGATGTTGGAGCTGAAGGGAAATAAATGCAAAGATTGCTTCAATGTATTTTAATAAAACATGTTCTGATTGACATAGCCTAATAAAATAGATTAAAATGTTAAGGTGTTTATTTTTAATTTAATCAGATAATCAGAGCACAGATGTCTTATTTGAAACCTATGAGAAAGTTCTCATTTTGAAAACTAAATATAGACATTTAATTATCTGAACCAAACATTTTATATAATTCAACACTCTTATACCTGAGAGGGAAAAATTTCCTCTAAGCAAGTGTACTGCTTGAGAAGTCTAAGAAAAGCAGTAAAATCATTTCTAATGGAGTGAATTTATAATGGTACAGTTCTAAAGTGTCTGTTTTGGTGCTTCCATTTTACTTACTATGAGTAAAGACTTTTGCTGGAGACGTATCTTAGCTTTCATTATAATAAATTTATTCCTGGTTAGATCAGTTTGTTTCTAAAACATATATTATCACTTTGTACGTGGATCAAAAGAACGCAAGGCAGAGACTTTAACTTACTTTTTACAGTGCTTTGATGATGATTTAAAAAGTATTTTAACCTTTTCCTTACTATACTTATGTCCCCATTATATAGACACAGCTTCTTGTAGGTAAAAATCTGTTTCCTGTTAGTTTAAAATTATAGTAGGATTTGAGATATGATATAACAAGAATCATTGAGATGTGATACAGTATTCTTGCTAAGAATGGCAAGAATTTTAATAATACATAAATTTTTCAGTCAATCTTCTGTTTTAGAATTGCATAATATTAGAAAACTATAGATGAATGCCAATAGCAAGCTGAAAAAATCTTTTTCAGATAAACACATTGAACCCTTTAATAAGTGAAACATTAGATTTGAAAGAACTGATTTCTGTTTCTCTCATTTCTTTCTAGTTCCTCTGCTTCTCCTCTCTCTCTCTCTCTCTCTCTCCTTTCTTATTTCTTCTTCCTATTCTTTCTCTAACCTCTTTTTGGAGTTCCCTGCTATCATCTCCTACTACCATTAACTGACTATATTATAGGATTGAAGTTTGTTTGCTTGTTTGTTATTTATTGATTTAGTAAATATAATGTTATTTTATCTATTATTAATTTTTAAAGACAGTTTATGTTTTTTCCTGAAAACAAAAAAAGTGTTCTTGTGTATATGAGACCCTCATTCTATCCCTATCCGTCATGGGTCTATAGAAAAGAAAAAAAGATCACCCCTAGTATATTTAGTTTACCAATTTTAAAGAACATAAAATGTTAACATAGTTTAGATTATGTTACTTTCAGTGATTCAAATTCTTATTGTTACAGACATTAATTATTACGTAGTATTATAGAGGAAAGGAGCCCTGGCAGCACAATGATTAAAGCACCTGGCTGCTAACTGATAGGTCAGCAATTCAAATCCACCAGCTGTTCTGTGGGAGAAAAGACCTGGTGGTCTGCTCCTGTAAAGATTACAGCCTAGAAAACCCTATGGAGCAGTTCTACTCTGTCATATGGGGTTGCTATGAGTCAAAATGGACTTGATGGCACACAACAACATTATAGAGGTAGCAATTAGAGATTAGGCTGAATCTATATAACATATCTTAAATAGCAGCTTATTTATTTGTCATTTATACACACACATACATTTATAAATATGTATATTTATGTTTTAAATAAAAGTTTAGCTCTCTGGTCATGTAGATGCTAGGGATAGGGAAGAATTACTGTATTGAGTACATAGGTTTTGTAGGTATTCAATGATATTTGTTAATTGAATGGATAATGAGATAAGGTTTTATAAAATATTAGAGTTTGTAATGTAATATAATCATATATTTATCATTTTTAATGGTTCCATGAAAAAATATGCAAGACTCTAATTTATTTACTTATATAGCATATTTTAAACATTGTTGTGTGCAGTAAAAAGAAAAATAAACTGCAGTTTACCACCTTGTCTCATTATTAGACTGCTGTAATGATAAAAACATCAGAAGTTTTAAACCAAATTATTAACATAGCAGCCTTTTATTTCTTACTTTATTTTTATAATATTGGAAGGATCTAGTGTTATTGTTTATAATAACTATTTAGAATTCTTATGACTAGAAGACTGTCTAAATACAGATAATCAAGGACTGAGTAGTGACTTTAAAAAATTAACAGAGAAGTCCTTAAATAAAATGTCCAGTGATTTTATTCTCTAACAGTCATATGTCTTTATCAGAGAATAAAAATCTCCCCTCTTATCTAAAATCAAGAGAATTTGCAAGGAATTATGATTTGTCACTCAGGATAAACCAAGTTTATGTTTTTGAGTAGAATTAGAGGTCCTTAAGAAACAGTAGTCTTGTTTGGATTAAGTATAATGGAAGAACATTCCTCAGAACTGCCTAACCATTGCTTTCCACAATAATAGTGCACAAGGGCTCTTTTAATTTACCTTTAACCTGGCCAAAGCCATTATAAAACTATATCTCAAAGACAGAATCAAAATAAATGTATTAATTATAGCCATTACCAGGCAGAAGCAATGAGCAGATAATAGCCAATGACATAGACTAGTCTAAAAAGTTTAAGATTTAAAAAAAAATCTCCTGAAGAAGAGGGATTCTTTTGTGACACCGGTGTTATATTTGGGCAGTGCCAATTCTTAATTGTTAATGATCATTTTTAACCAAGAAACCTTTTCTTACTACAGTAGTAAAACCTTCCCTTCGATGCAAACCAACCTAAAACCTTTATGTATTGATAGTCTTAGTTTCTTAGGCTCCTGAATACAGTCGTCAGTAAAGAAAATGTCAGGATGGGCAGTGAGATACAGAATTAAATTAAAAAAAGTGAGAAGATTTAAGAGCAATGCCTTATATCTAAGTAATTTAGTTGTTCAACTAAAACTTAAAAATAAAATTTTTCATCTATAAGCAGTTGACCTTAAAAGGTCTCTCCTTAATATCTCAGCTCTGAGATATGTCACACAAGCTAAGGCCTAAACTAGTGGGCTGTCTGCCTCCAGTTTGTTACCTAACACTGCTAATGCTGATAAAATGGCTTCCCTAAACAGAAGGAAATCAAACATTTCCTGCCAAGTTTAAGGTGAAAACCTACACCAGGATCAGATCAGCATGATAGTGCTTCAGAACTTGGGTGTATTGATAATATCATCTTTCTTTTTTATGTACTCGATTAACACATTTATGAGGACAGATGGGGAACCAAGGAGCTGCTTTTAATATTGAAATGTCATTTTGAAGTTAACTTCTAACAGATGCTGTGAATTTTGGAGTCTTTGTGTAAGGGGGAAAAGGTGAATGATGATAACTAATTAAGGATAATATTATTCATATGTTACCAGTTTAGTTAGAATGTACTTTAGAAGAAATATTTTTTAATTTAACTGAAATAAATTGACATGTTCTTTATGAAGAGCTTTTATGTTTTTAAAATCTTTTATCTGTAGCTCTTTAAAGTGTATTTATTGTTACCCATTTAGTTTTAGCAAGCTATGCATTCTCCAAAAGAAACGTGTTTGTGGTTCCATTTTTAAAATTGGACCCTTACAATTGTATGAAATCTAATGTTGTCTATAAACTCTCTGAACTCAGAACCTCTCCAGAAGATGAAAAATTCACTTGTAGTCACTACCTATCCTATTTTGATAATGTGATATTTTTTATTATAGAATAAATTTAAAACTTTACTGGAAGATTTTTTTTTAATCTCTGGTTTTATGATTTCCTGTCAAAAGAACTTTAAAACCTCTCAAAAGAACTTTAAAATTCCTCCTCAATAAATAATTATATGCTGAGGAAAATTAAGTAGCAACAGAAAAGTGGGCAAAGTTTAGATTTTTGTTACCCTTGTTCTGAAGAGCTCATAATACTTCATATAAGTTAACCCATTTATCCTGTCATCTCTAAGAAGAAGGAATAATAGATTATATTCACAGTTTTGTAGACAGACTAAGTGAGAAACATGGCAATTAAGTAGCTTGCCCAAGTTCATGAATTAATTGGTAAAGCTAGAATTAAAACCCAGGCCTCTTGACAATAATCTTTCTAGTAAATTGCATTACCTACATTGGCTTAAAAATGTTTCAAAAAGTTGTATAATAAATCCATTCTAGAAGCATTCTTTTGGGATCTATTTTATCAGGACCTGGAGATACCAAAATAAAAAA